TTTCCAGCACTTATCCATTGCTTCCTTTCAGAAATTAGCCACTTTTATGAATATGATTATAAATTTTATTGTTCGTTCTTTTTTGCTGTTTTTGATGCTTCAGGGAAAATATTTTCCATTAAAGTCATCATCAAAAGAAGGCAAATCAATTTAACACTTTACACTCCCTGTATGTGAATTATTTATTCACTTGGATTTTTTAACATTTTAGCAAGGCAAAATTATACAGCACAAAGGAGAATATTTCTATGGAAAATAAAAAAAGAATGCCTTCAGCACTTTGACACTCTGTGATCTGGCACATTATAACCCTTCACAAAAGTTCCCAGATTGCCAGGGATTGTTGCGCGAAGGGAAACAAAAATTATTATAATTTTGCATATATTTATTTTTTGTGAGTCACTTCCTTTACATATCTCGCAAACACAACGTAAATGCGTTGTTACTTCTCCTGAGTTATCGACATCGCTGTTATCGTTTGCTCCATTTTTTCTTTCTTGCCTTGGAAAATCCCTTAACTCTAATAAATGTAAATTCAAATTTAAAACTAACAAAGCAGCAGCAAAAAATTGTATATAATTTTCCGCACCTTTCAGCGCTGCTGACAATTCCTGTAAAGAATGCCCTCATTGAAAAAAAAAGAAAAGAAAACGGTAACACGCAAGGATAATTCAGGAGATGCTGATGAGCAGAGAATAAAAATAAATGCGTGGAAAGCAGGGGCGATATCAAAAAGGGTAAACGCTATGCATATTTACACACATTTCTTGACTTATGAGTGTGAGAGCGGAGTTTGTAACACAAAACTCGTTAAATCCTTAATATATTTTCTACAAATTGCATGAGTTTCAGCGTATGTGTGTAACTAGGTAAATCTTTTGTATGAAAAAATACTCTCTTTATCACACATATACTGGCACATGAAGCAATGCAAAGCACAAAAATGTCAATAACATCCATTACAACACGTCGTGTCTCCATCATTCACACATTCACACGACAATGTCACACAAATCCTTTTAATATTAAATAAACTTTATTTTTTACGCTTATATCCTGCGTGATTACAAGTTCGTTGGCGTTTGATTGGGATATGTTAAATAGCTTCGGATAGCTCGAGGTAGAATGTTCACTTTTCTTCGTGTATTTTCTATCACCAGCACTTAATGATTTCACACTTACTACTGGGTTGATAGGTAAAATGTGAAGTTTGCTGTCGTATGAATCTAGCAAACTCAAGCTGACATAGTTTCCAAAAGTTTCTGCATTGTTTGTTACACTTTATTGAAATTCTGTAAGTGAATATATGGGAAACAATTTACATTAGCACATACTGGGTATAAATTGAAAAAATAATAATTATTGTTATTTAATGGATTCATCGATTATATCTACCAAGATATTAGGATTTTATTTTTGTTTTCCTAGTTAACATCTAACATAGTCAAGATTTGTTATCCAAAGTGGAAAAGTCCGCTTAATTTCGAATGTAGATGTTGTCGATAGTTCAAGAAATCTAATATTGAAGGAACTAATATAATTTATATTTTTACAAATTGAATAATCCGATACAATTAACTACTAACTATATATTTATAAAGTATATTATTGTCTAGTTTCTCTTAGCTTATTTCTGTTTTTAAATTTACAGAAACTACTAACAGCCTTAATCCCCGAACACAAAACAAAACATTTTAACATTTTAATTTTAAGCTACAACATGAGTATTTACGAAGAATTCACTCTCGCCATCTCTGCAGAGTAATCCTTTTTTCCTTAAAACAATTTAAAATTCTGTTTTCCTAAATTGTTGGTAAATCAAATTAATATGTCACATTGACTTATGGTCCAAATAACAACAATGTTTTATGTGATAAACATTTTGCTTTGGCAAACACCAACAACAAAAACGGCAACAACACCAATGGTAAAATAAAATATATTGCCCATTGTTGTTAGTGAAGACTAGCTGGCCGGATGTTCGGGTATATGGCCACTGATGATGACAATGAGTTGCTGTGTTGTTATTGCTAAATGGGGTTGTTGGTTGGCCTGGTTCGTTTCGTTTTTAAATCATGATCCTATTAACAACTCTGTTTTGATGACATTTTAACATCTGTAAGCCCATTTCTCATTTATCCTTGTCCCATATTGAATTTTTATGTTAAGAAGGAACATAAAGGAAGTAAATTCAACACCACTCCACCAATCTGCAAGGAAACTCTTCCTCGTGTTGTCCATCTCTCGTTTGCCCTCATACAATTCGTTCATCACATCCGTCCATTGTGTGCTGTGTGTGTGTGTTTGCTTGTTTGCATTTATCTTGCAAATACACATGATTTATATAAAAATGCATGAATGACATACCGAGATGTCTGTGTGGCAACCTAAAACAACAAAATGCCGTACTGCAATTCTGTTGCTCCCCCCGGACGAATGGATAACGGCATGGGCATGGGTATGTGGGAATGGTGATGGGAATGAATGATGGTTAGAAAATGAATGTTGAGTTTTAGTTATCTTGGAAAATATGCCACAGAAATATTTTTATTTTTTTGGGGAAATGTTCCAATGGGTTATGTCATAGGTAAGTGTACAATTAGGATGTTAGTAATGGCGTTAAGTAGCAGAATGGTGCCTTTACACTTCACGATAATCATAATAATTAACGAACAGTGGTTTCAAAACATAAATCAATGGGGGTTTTAAATTTCTCTTAATTAATATTAGATTAAAATTTTCAGACATTCGTTGATGTTTTGTTCTTGTTCTTAATTTTTAGTCTTAGAAAAAAATGGTTGCTATCTCTATAAATATAGTATTGCTAAGTCTATGCCCTAATTTCTAGTGTCGATCTCGATTAAACTTTACACTGTCATAGTCCATGGTTCTTGACTTCTCATGTAAGCCTTTTATTAGAACTTTTGTTGGTTGTTTTGTGAATTTTAGTAGCCCAACTAAGTAAACAGCAACGTCCATTCTTGCCCATTACTGTGGTTGATTACTTTTTCGTTTCGTTTCGTGCATGCGTTCGTGCGTGCCTTTGCCTGTGTCTGAAGGAGGCATTCATGTTAACATTCTCGTTTTTATGCTGCTGTGAGTGAGTGTGTGTGTTTTGGTCTGTGTGAGCAAGTGCATGTCCTTGCTGCAATTTCACTGGGGTAAATGGCTACAAAACGTCGTTTTGTAATCACGCTGTTTATCCCATTAAGACAATCATGTTTCAAGAATTATTATTAGTGAGTTGTTGGCTGTTAAAACGGGTGTTGCACTCTCGAATCGGCTCTTAGCCCTGCTACATGTTGTTACAACATGCCTGGCAGAACAATGCAATGCAAAGGCAGAGTGTGAATTAACAAAAACAAAAAACCGGGTAACCTTATGTTTGGCATTGGAGGCGGCAACGACGCTGACGTTGGTGCCTTCACGAACAGACCATGGTGCTTATGGCTCGTTAGTATTTTAAACACTTAAACGGAGGTTGGCAAAAGTTCTTACTCTCTTTATGTTGGTGTTGGTAATGGTTATCTTTAACGTTTCTCCCAGTCGCCAGTGCCACCATACGTCTGTGTACATTCTCGACGTTGGTGGGTTTTGTTTGTCTTAGTTAAGCAACAAATTTGTAAAATGCTAACCATTATTGCTACGAGTTAAATGCCACAAGCAACAAAAACTTATAAGCAGCAATATGAGAGCTGCTCACCCCCTAGTGACAATAGTTAGGGGGCGTAGAAATAGAGATTCAGATTCTACATCAAGGAGTTTGAGGTGAACATAACACTTTCGTGCACTCGTGCTGGGTAAGGGGGTTGTGTAATTTTATATCGTTGTAAACACATGCAACATTGTTGCTGATGTTTTATTTGTTTTTCGAGACGTTAACATGCAGAGGTATGCATTGAGTGAGTGGATGTGCAAATGCTCACACGACCTGGCACAAAACGTGTGTGTAATTAAAAGCTGATGACAGCTTACATACGTTTGCATTTAATTTTTTCCTGTTTGTTTTTCTAACACTTTTTACGCCCTCAAATTCACATTTACACACATGCATGTATATGCGCGGTTACAGCACCTGGTGCAAATGATGCGTATTTTCTTACCCTTGTTGCCGCTGCACGCATTTGAACAAATCAAGGAATTCGAGAGCACATCGGGAAAGCATGCTTAATGTTTTGATATTGTTTGTGGTGATTCCCATCAACAGATACCAAAACAAGTTGCAAATGTTCTCAAAGTGTTATTTAATACGTGAAAAGTTATATTTATGTAGATAATGAATAAAATAAAATCGAGTTCTCGTCATTTAATATGAATGAAAATTTTCCGAGGGAAATATGAATTCAAATAGAACAAATTCAGAATATATTTAGTCATTTAGTACATTCAAATATGATGAAGGGATTTTCTAAATCTGGTATGTTTTTATCACTCCAGACCTAATTGAATAGAAACAATTTTACAATTTTTTTTTCCTTTTTTTTTCTTCATTTGATTTTTTGGGCCAGAATTCTACGATCATATAAATAATGTTTTTTTTTTAGGTTTTGAGGGTTCTGTTCTGAAAACTACACTTCATTTTACCAATAACTGTTGTTCAATGAAACTGTTATAGGTCGGATAAATCACTAAACACTGTTAATATTGCCTTAAATGTTAAATATTTACCCTGTTTATTACAATTTGCTATGACGAAAGATGGTACCATTTACTTGCTGATTTGGAATTTTAAATACATATTTAGTTAGACAATAAAACTTTTATTGCGTTACTTATCTATACGAGAACGTTTCAAATAATGCTCACTATCATAAAATATTGTTATTTGGTACAGGCAAGATACTTTATGGATCATAAAACGTTTTAATTTCTCAAATTTCGGAAAATTAAAATTTTAAACAAATATTTTATAACAGCCACACACAATATTTTTACAGACTACTACGTAGTCATCTGCAATGATCTATACTAATGTTTTTCTTCTTTTTTTAATTTTGCAGATGGTGACGAGAACGAAGAAAATATTTGTGGGTGGCCTATCGGCGCCCACAACACTGGAAGACGTCAAAAGCTATTTCGAACAATTTGGTCCGGTAAGTACTGGCATAGATCTCAAAGACAAAGATGTCTATATGACGTTTTCACATAAAAGTGCAATGCCAGAAGGCTTAAACATTCAATTGTAGTAAAAAGGGGAATGGGCACTCTATGTATGCCTGTATGTCGGTTTGTCTGTCCTTTCAATATATTAAGTAAAATATAATTTAATATTTGGATCAATGTAGCTGCATATGAACAGACCAAGACATACAAAATTTACAACTTAAGTAATGACAATAAAACATTTATTACTCTAAAGACTTATCAAATTCAAGCACTCACATGTTCTGTACAGCAATTGAACACATACACACTCGCACATATGCATATACAATCATCTGCACATGTCCTAATGAAAGACAAAACTGAATTTATGGCTTCAAATTGAATTTTCTTCTATGTGCAAAAAACACAAACACTTAAACATTTATATTCCACGCACATGTGTGCAAACGACTGTTCGACATATTCGGCAAACACTGACAACCATAGCAACCAACACTACCATTGACAAATACACCGAAATAAAAATCCATTACCATACAAAAATTCTTGGACAAAGGACTGCAAGATATACTGAAGAGAACTCTTGTGCATGGTTTTGGCTTCTTCATTTCTGTTTTCAACATTGTAAGCAGTTTTTATGAATGAAGCAGAACAGAAGTTGGAGAAATATTATTGATTGCATTGCTGTCTTAAACTCAGTGATAAATGAAGTATGAAAAGACTCTGGGGGCACTATGCAGCATACAAAAGTGCAAATAGTAATATGGGTAGGTAGCATCATATTCTGACGATGCGAATCGTATATATACAGAGGTAACTTTGTTTTCAATACAAATATGAGTATGGATCCAGTGATATTTAATCAACTTAATATATATGTCTTCTCTATGTTTGAACATGGTTTGAACAATTGCAACGACGATCTTAGAGACAGTCTGTTGTTTTCATAGTTATTCACATCTTGTAGAAAAATCAAAATAGTCGAATTCTTTAGATTTCTTAAATCTTATTCCAAACAAAAAAGTGGACAAGTTGTTCTTTAACCATAATGTAATCAAATATCTGCACAGTTAATAGGTCTAGAATTACAAAGTTCAAAACGAACAGTCAGTTTTTGTCGTTAAAATCAGCTGATCTATTCCCAATAATAAGTGTGTACCGGTTATGCAAAAACAAGTGATATATGGCTTCCAAAAACAGTATTTGCAGAATGTTGTTATATAAAAACAGTTTACTTGCACAAAAAAACGAAAATAGTTCAAATTATTAGACTAATATGTGTTTGAATTCATTTAAGTAAAAATCAATTAAATTCGATTGCCAACGTAACTGTGATATCTGGTGTGCGGTATACAATTAACGACATATTTATGCTGATGATGCAAATAATTGTTTCCCAAACTCTATTAAACGACTTTAACTTGAATTATTCCACTTCGAATGCAATTCGATTTTCTTCAACTTGATTATCATTGTCATCATTATTGATCCAACCATACAGTTAACACCACATAATTGTAATGATTAAAAGTATAGCTAAAATGTCTACCACTAACAATTGCTATTATGTGGAGCATACTGTTCTCATTTCTTTTGAATTTCAATTCGTATGACAAATTCGCCAAATCTTTGTACTCATGGATGCAGTGTATGGATGTGTGTTTTGTTTGCATGTATAAGCAATGAGAGAATGAGAAAAAGAAGAAAGACATTTTGTGTGTGTTCATAAATAATTTGATTGACTTCTTGACAATACTTTGTTTTGCATACAATCACATTTCTGCACATGCACATGCCCACACACTCATTCAATCACACTCAAATATTGTATATTTGCTCAAGTTTTTGTATGCCAAATGTTGAATGTTTCTAATGCATATTACTTTTGCATAAAAATAAAAGAAAACGACAATATGTTAAGAGGAACCAGATGTGGGGAAATGTAAGGGGTGTGTCCATGGAGAAACGTGCCTTCGTTATGGCACGAAGCAAAAACACCAGTGACCGAATACTATAAACAAGTAGAAGAAGAATAACAATTCATAAACATGCAATGTACAACAATGATTGTGTTCAATTGCCAGTGGCAATATTTATGGGTTCCGTTCCATTGTACCCTACTCGATCGGTTGCAGCAATATCAGAAACGGAATAAAGACAAATGTCTTGTAATAAAAACAATTTCTGGAAGAGATACCAAGTTACAAAGGTGGCAGACATGATATAAATCAGACATCTTAAACCCATTTCTTAAGCATATTCCTGAAGGCGCAAGTGCAGCTTTCTGTATTTATTCGCACCACTCCTTTATATGTGTCCCATTTGTAGAATAAGTGAATTTAAAGCGAAAATGACGAAAAATTAGCTGTGCCCCTAATATATATATAAACGTTTTGCTAAAGGGAAGAACCACTAATCCAACTGCAATATATTAAAATAAAATTATATTTGTAATGTGGACATAGCAAATGGATATCTTGCATGTTCGTTTCTCTAACTGGTGCATTCGGAAACTCCAGAAGATAGTAGCCTACCGACTTAGTACAGACATACACCTAACATCGTTAGGAAATACAATAAAACATATACAACAATTATATATATTATTAATACTTAAGAAGCAGTAATAAGAAATTTCTTCATCTGTGTATAGTTCAGCCGTAGCTTGGTTCAAATTTATAAAAAGTTATACCGTAAATTTCATCTACAATTAAAATTTTGATTTCCATTTCAGAATTTTAACTTAATTTCTGTCCATACAACCTATTTAACACACCCACACACAATAGTGTATATTTAGTGTTAGCAATACAACAACTTTTGTACCTCCACTTCTTGTGTTTGTTGCCTTTAACGATACCATTCAATTTGAAAACCTCTATTCGATGACAAGCATGCATTCAGGCCATATTGGTATTGGTGCAATGTTGTATTATGCCCCAAAGCTATTCCGGGTAACATTGTTTGATCAATATATAATCAAATTTAATCTTGACAAGAAACGACATTACATTTCGATTTTTACAAATGTGTACTAGCACATTGACATAATGAAACTCCTGAACACACACATACATACTCCAACAGAAATATCGACAAGAAATAATGAAAAACCATAAATAGTATACATTTTATTTCTAATACCTACGGATTTTATTTCAAAGAATAATAGGGGACGAGTTGTAGAGGTAAAAATATGTCCTTGTTGTAGTTTTAGTTATTTTTACAGAAGTAATTTTTTGCTATTGTCAGTGATTTTTTTTCGAAAAAAAAATCTTTGTAGTGGGTACAAGTGATGGGGGTGTCGAGGGAAAATAGATTTACTAGAATTTAAACTATTCGACAAGACATGCATCCCAGTTAGCAACATCAACAACAAGTCATGTTTTCGTTTATATTTAGTTTTATTATCATCTTTAGACATTCACTTCGACATGCCATCATTCGTGTCTTGCATGTTGAATTGCATTTTCTTGTTGTCTCTGGTCCTTGGATGCCTTTGGGGGCTATTTTTCATTTTGGTTTGTAGGTTGTAAACTAATAAAATATTGAAAAATTGAATTTACTTTATAAATTACAAAGCAATTACAATTAGAAAGATCGTAGGAGTTCTAATGACAAGCTTTCTTCCTTCTGCATGATTTTATTTCTTTTGTGGAAGAATGATATATTTTCTGATGTATCAATGTAATACATGTACAGTCGATTTTGTAAGAGTAATGTCTTACAGGAACACTTTAAAAAATTAATTCGTAGATAAAATCCAGTTGTTATACCAAATCTGAAGTTAAGGTTGGTGAATATCTCCAGGCGGACTAAATATGAAATTTAAAAAAAAAGTAATAAATGAATTTCCTTAGATATTGTTATTTTTATATACTGTTTTAAGATTTTAAATAAATGTTTAACAAAAATATCTGACAATATTATTAATGTTTTAAAAAATCGATTTCATTTTTTTATTTGTCTCTGTTAATTATTATAAGCATATCGAGTGAAATCTACATTCTAAATTTTTCTTGTCCATGTTCAGAATTTTTGTTTTATGACTATTATAACACCATATTTGTTGTTGTTTTTACAATAGCTCCCCAAAACATTTTTTTAAACCAACCAGTAAATTAAATTATTCTGCTACAAAAATAATTGCACCTTTTACAAACATATTGCCAACAGATTTTTCTTAGAAATTTATCAATTAGAAATTCCTGTATGAAAAGAAAAACAGTTCAATAAATCTGGTGTTTCTTTGTTTTTTTATACAAATTACAAAGTTTCCTTATTTCTTCCCTTTAAAAAATGATGATGCAAACCACAAAGAAAATCAAATGAAATCCTTTTAAAAGATAAACGTTTTAATGTTTATTTTCTTTTTTCTGAGAAGAGAAGTAGTCAGTTTTTTCCCTCATCATTTCTCACTCTTTATGCCATAGGACTGTGTGAGTTCACAATTATGAACACACACACATACAAAGATAATCGTGTTATGGGGTTGAGTTTATTGGTTTTCTAAATAAACTGTTGCAAACAAACAACCAACTGTACATTCTTCAAATATTTAATCAGAAATTAAATTTAAATAAATAAAGAATATATTTGGTAATTTGCAAAAATAACACTGGTTTAATTAGAATTTAATAACGACTAATTGACTGACACATAGGTGGAAGGAAGGATGGAGGGGCTGAGCAAACATGTTAATATTTACAAGAAATCAACATTTTATTTGTTTGAATAAATTTCAAATAATAAAAGTATTAATCAAGGATTTCGAGGGGAAGGAGTAGCAAATAAGTAATATAATAACATCAATAATTTAATGTGCAGTACCCATTTATAAATATAAATTTGAATAAAAAATTGAATTTGAAATATTCATACAAAAGAATAATTTCACTCTGAATCGCGGAAACGGCAACTACTTAATATTCTATGTACTTAAAATGAATATTTTGTGAAATATGGCGATGAATCCGTAGAAGTTACA